GACCGTGGCAGAGAACCCTGCTACCCATCACAGACCGTGGCAGAGAAACTGTAGTTGTAAAGCATCAGATAAACGGTTAGCTACAAATGTGTCGCAAAGAAATGGAACAAAAGGATTTCCATTTAATTAGTAACACTAGATCCATCGTGTTTCACATTTTTAATCCCGCAAGGGATTGAGCTAACAGCTTTTTATGATATTACAAATAAAGACATGTACATGAAGTCATCTAAATGGTTGAAGATCGTTTCGTGTTGCTATGATCTGATTTATATACAAAATGAGAGAAATAGCGCATCAAAACATAGTAAGGAGTGCTTAATTAAGGAGATATATACTTGTATACTTCTTTAAAGTTTTGTTAGGAAATGAAGTTTTTAGACATGAAAGATCTAAACAATTATTCAGCATCACTAATCGACTTGGACATACACCAAGTTACAACACAATAGTTCGTCTTCACAATGATGTAGCATGTACTGCTAGAACAAAAGCTGATACATTTGCTATTCTTGAATCAAATCAAAAGAACTTGATATATTCACATGATTTCACGATTAAAGAAGCTGATAATTTCGATATGAATCCTGATACATTATACGGCAATAATAGTATTCATATTCTGAATCGAATAATTGTATCAACACCTGAGAATGATGAAATTCCATTTATAGTAGCAAATGTACTTCATGATGCATTGAATCAAGTCAGCAAATTAGATAATCTTTTTGAAGTAAGTGTTAGCATCAGTGTGAAGGTACATAATGGTTTTTTTTATCAAAGAGAAGAAATAGAATCGTCTTAGATCAAATAATTAAAACATGCTGTTACATAGATTATCGCTCCTCAACTACGGTTGCTAGATCTTCCGAAATGACAGGAAAAATTCCGAATTTCAAGCTTTTTTTCGAAGACTTTCCGAACCTCCGAAGTCTTCCGAATTCGAGTATTTTTTCCGATCTTCTTTCGAATTTGGAGATTTTCTAGATTTTTCTATTACTATAAGATTTATTCGTAAGTAATGTGTCATCTTCTTGTTTTCAAAACAATTGAATAATCTATTGTTTCAAGGTAGATGCAGCACTATACTATTTACATCTTATTTCGAGTCATAAATCTGACAGAATATGAAGTAAGTTGAATATCTGATGTTGAGAAAAAAAGTAATAGAAAGAATAGATTTTCTACCAGGGCTGCCAAATCTTCCGAATTGGGCGGAAAACTCCCGAATTTTTGCTTTTTTTCCGATCGCTTTCCGAGTTTCCGAATTCATCCGAATGTCAAAGTTTTTTTCTATTTTTTTCCGAATTGTGATATTTTTCTATACTTTCCCTTTATTGTAATTTTACTAGAATTTTTACTAGCTATTACTGCGCCACCTTTGTTTTCCCATTATTGTTGGCTAGTTCACTGTATTCAGGCTGCTTTAGTAAAATAGTAAAATATAAACTCGCTTTGATCTTAAGTTTGATCGAATCCGACAGAATTTTAGTAGCACAAATAATATTTTTCAAAACGAACTGAATTTTAATTTTAACAAAAGATACTGTTACTTATTAATTCTTACTATCTAGATTAAATTAGTGATAGTCATGAATGGTGAATCTGAAGATTCGATAATGTGCACAAGTATGAGTGAAGAAGAACAAGAAAATCTGCCAGTAATAATCACTACTCAAACAGCAAAAACACCAGTTTTTCGTAAATTAAAGAAAAGCAAGGTGTTTTTAAGAAACATTGGTCAAATATGAAAGATATTCATCTTGGTTGTAGGAAATAAAAAATGATACTACACAAGCTCGAGGCAAAACTTTTTTAAGAACATGTAGTGTTCATTATGAAGGAAGAGTGCTTTCAATTGTACAGGTGTAAATATTTTATTTCGTATTGCTTTTTTTCATTAACTATATCTTTTTCTCGAAAATAGTGACTTCTAATAAAGAATTAATCGATCTTTTCTTCATTATGAATCAATTGTGTATGAATAAATGATAATCAGCAACAAACAATACATTTTTCCATTAAAAGCCTCAAAACGTGCATAAAAATGTTGAATAATTTTTTTCCGAATTTATATTAAATTGATTCCGAAAATTTCGACTTTTTCCGAATTTCAATAGAGAAAAATCCAATTTCTAACTTTTTCATCTGGCAACCCTGTTTTCTACTGGAAAAGTTGCATTACAAGTTCAAGAGAGAATGGTACTTTATTTAATAGCTTTTAAGTTTTAGATTTAACGATGGATAATGAATCAAGTGAGTCACATATGAATATCAGTTCAATAGAAGAAGATGAAACAGAACTCCTAGCTACAAAAAGTAAAAAATGATAATTCAAAAGCTCGATGTAAAGCATGTTTAAACTCTTTCAGTCCTATACGATGGTAAAGTATATTTAAAAATTATGAATATTGATTTTCATAAAACATGTACAAAATCCTTTTCGAACAACTCGATAAATACTTTTCTTTTTCCTTCACCAAGTGAAGTAGAAAAGTTTCAGTAACAGAAGCTGCATTTGTGTATCCCGGTTTTCGACAAAATTTGTTGAAAACTATAGCAACAAATGATAAATTCGACAAGAAAAATGTACTTTTAATTGATGGTATTTAGTTTTATTGTAAACACGCGTTTTGAACTGCACAGTATTTGAATATATCTGCATATACGTAAATACTTTGTGAAGTTCATTTCTCAATCGCCTTCATTTTCAGGAGATTAATTAATTTTAATAGGGAAACAACTGTTCTAATGTTTTTATCAGAGATGGGCGAGTCAAGTCAAAAATGACTTAAGTCGAAGTCAAGTCAAGTCATTTTTGACTTGCTTGACTTGACTTGAAATTTTTTTTTAATGACTTGCGACTTGACTTTGACTTGACTTGAAAATTTTTTTTAATGACTTGCGACTTGACGTGACTTGACTTTGATTTTTCATTTTTTGACTTGACTTGACTTGTGACTAGACAAAAAAATACAAGTCAAGTCAGCTATTCTTTGCAACTTCAATGCATATTAGATTCTCGTCAGGTTATATTTGGCCTAGGCGTACAAAATAAGGTCCCAAACAGACTAGACGAATAAACAATGAATTTTTAATAGATTGTTTATTCGTCTAGTCTGTTTGGTCTTACAAAAGACACTGTCTGACATCGACATTCGCGAGTATATAAGCAATTATACGGCTGAGTGTACATCACACGTGACCTATTGTATTAAACTGGTTAGATCAATTACAACTTGCATTTATCAAAGATGAAATTACTAGTTATCTTAATGATGATGATAGTGATTCACAAAGGTTTATTCTACTTAATCAATCAATTAAATACAAAACGTTGAATCAATTAGCAAGGAAAGTTTTGACGTTTCCTGCCACATCATCATCTGTAGAGAGAATTTTCTCACAAAGTGGCTTTATATTTCGGCAACATAGGGCCAGAATGTCAAGGAAGCCATTACAAATGTTAACTATGTTAAAATGTAATCAGGGACTTATGTAAAATTTTTTTCAATAAATTGATACATAACTAATTTATGAAATTGGAAAAAAATTCATGTTAATGACTTGTGACTTGACTTGACTTGACTTGGTTTAGAACACAGACTTGACTTGACTTGACTTGCAATGCCCTATCCCAAATTGATGACTTGACTTGACTTGACTTGAAAATATTCTTTTTCGAGCAATGA